TGATGGTTACACAACATGGTGAGTGTAATTGTCACTGAATTGTACACATAAAAAATGTCTGAAATGGCAAATGTTTTGTTATATATTTTTTATCACAATAAAATTAGAGAGAAATTCAAATGGAATTTTTTGAGGAGTTAAGTATTGGAATAAAAGACATTTTTAACTTGCACATTGATAGGCTAGTATTACATTAACCATTAAAATCTAAACTGATACAAAACAGTATCCAAAAAAGAAAGTTTTTAAAAGAGGTAGAGGTGGTCAGAAGGCACAGGAGACACTAAAGCAAGGAGAAATATTCTAGGACTTAAGAAAGGATTGTAAGAGTTGCTGTACACCCCTTTGTTAATGGTATTGGCGTAGTTTTCTTTTTCCCCCCCTTCCCTTCTGTATGTATAAAAGAACATAAAATAAAAATTGTATACTGTGGATGCTGACAAATTTAATTTATATCACTATTCATCAGAAGAAATTTAAGCAACTTATAGCGTCCTACCAAATGTTTAATACTATTAAAGAGTGTTTAAAATGTTTAAAATGTTTAAAAATGTTAGTCCACATTTTACAAAATTATAAATTGCAATTCTTTTATGGTCAGGAAATTGTAATTTTTTGAGTGTGCTGAAAAGCCATAAACATATAATTATGTTTATAATACGCTCAAATAAAAATATTTTTCATTAAAATTATTGAAATTTACATGAGCATGTATGATTATATGAATCTAGATATCATTTTAATATTTTGCCTAATTTCTTTACAAAATAAATGGTGTAATATTTTGATCATATTATATACTTTATTTTTGCCTACTGGAAATAAATCTCAAAGGTTTAGGTTGGGGTTTCAGATTGTTAGGGAAATAAAAATGCTACATATTATCCATAATTTTGTTGCTTGATTCTCATATTTCAAAAATCAGTTTTTCTAAGGGTTATGGCAAGAATAGAAGGAGCTCTGGTGACGCAATGGTTAAGTGCTCAGTTGCTAACCAAAAGGTCGGTGATTCGAACCCATCTGTGGCTCCACGGGAGAAAGATGTCACAGTCTGCTTCCATAAAGAATATAGTCTTGGTTGTGGGGACCATGGTCTCAGGGAACATCTAGCTCAATTGGCATAACACAGTTTATAAAGACAGTGTTCTACCTTCTACCTTGGTGAGTAGCGTCTGGGGTCTTAAAAGCCTGTGAGCAGCCACCTAAGATACTCCACTGGTCTCAACCCTTCGGGAGCAAAGCAGAATGAAGAGAACAAGATACAAGGAAAAGATTAGTCCAAAGGACTAATGGACCACAGCTACCAAGGCCTCCATCAGACTGAGTCCAGTATAGTTAGATGGCACCCGGCTACCACCATTGACTGCTCTGACCGGGATCACAACAGAGGGTTCTGGACAGAGCTGGAGAAGGATGTAGAACAAAATTCTAACACAAAAAAAAATACCAGATTTATTGGCCTGACAGAGACTGGAGAAACCCCGAGAGTATGGCCCCTGGACCCTCTTTTAGCTCAGTGGTGAAGTCACTCCAAGGTTCACCATTCAGCTGAGGATTGGACAGCCCCATAAAACAAAACGGGACTAATGAGGCACAGCAGTTCAGTGGCAAGGACTAGAAGGCAGAAGGGGACAGGAAAGCTGGAGATAGGGAACCCAAGGTTGAGTAAGGACAGTGTTGACATGTAGTGGGGTTCTTAACCATTGTCATAGGGCAATATGTGTACTAACTGTTTAATGAGAAACTATTTTGTTCTGTAAACCTTCATCTAAAGTGAGCATAGTAGCACAACTGGAAGAACATAATTGATGTAACTGAATTGTACATGTAGAAATTTTTGAAATGGTGTATCTTTGGCTATGTATATTCCCGCCCCCCGCCCCCAAAAAAAAGGTCCTCCAAGGCTGAGAAGGGAACACGTTGACATGTCATGGAGTTGTTAACCAATATCATAAAACAATATGTTTACTGACTGTTTAATGAGAAAATATTTGTTCTGTAAACCTTCACCTAAAAGTACAATAAAAAAAAAAATTTTTTTTAAAAGAATATAGCCTTGGAAACCCTATGGGGCAGTTCTACTCTGTCCTATAGGGTCACTATGAGTCAGAATCAACTCTACGGCAATGTGTTTGGATTTTGTTTTTGTTTTGTTTTTTTTTGTTTTTTTTTTTATGGCAAGAATAGATTTTAAAACAAAGTTAACACTAACAGAATAAGGTGTATCCAGGAAGTAATCAATGGAAAATTTTAAACATTTCTGCCAATTATAAATGCAAGCATATTTTAATTCACCAATAAATAGTTAATTAGTACCAATTAGTACAGGGCTTTGTGGGAGAAACAAGAAAGGTATCAGCCATTATAAATACCAAAGTGGTCCTCAATATGTACGTCAGAAAGCTCCATGCATGACAGGCAAGTGTGTCTAGAGAACATTTGAAGACGGACAAGAACAACTGTAGGGCATTTTGTTTTGCAAATTTTAGAAAAGCAATTTTCTAAGAACAAAAGAGCAGCATTGGGCTTAGCAAATTTATAAAGATAGTACCGTACTGCCCTCATTTTTCCATTGTCGTTGAAGTCTTCTTTCCACAATGGCTTATTGTGCACGTTACAACGTCTTCAGGGTCTTCAGAATTAAAGTGACAGAGTTTGTTTTTTTTTTTTTTTGTTTTTATGCACACTTGAGAATGGATGGTTCTTTCTTACTCTTAATATAATATGCCTTTACAGACTTCGCCAGTAATTCTAGTCATCTTGACAAAAGAAAATCACCAAGACAATACAATGATTTTACAAAGGGAAAGAATGACAGTTTCCCTTCTACTTTTCAGAAATGTTTTATAATATGATTTGAGATTGGCTTTATTAAATAGGCTGAAAGAGGAATCAATTCCTACAACATGACACTCTCTATAATAAAGAACACCTACACTTCTGAACAACACAGCCATTCCCATACATTCACCGTGTTATTATTATTACCATTAGAATTATTTCCAGAATAATTTTCTGACAGGGAAAATATGGCTTTGTTTAGAATAAACTGACAATATCAGTAAAACAAGCAATAAAATAGGAAGGGTCGAGGGTTTTGTTTTTATTCTGACTTCTGCAACCCTACTAAAGTCCCTATTATTTCTTGCTTCGCTGTTGAGACTGGTGTTCTATCAACGGTTCATTTATCCAACAAATATTTATTGTGCTCCTACTATGTGCCAAGTACTGAGCTAAGTGCTTGTTACAGGAGTAGCCAAAACAGATAAGGTTCCTGCCCTCACAGTACAGTCTGATTTAAACAATTAATCACATAGATAAATATGTAACTACAGTTTATGAGTACAATGAAGCAACAAAGCTGGGTGCCAAGAGAAAAACAGGAAGAACTAATTCAGATTGAAATTCCTCAATTTAGGCTAAGATTTGAACGATGACAAAGAATTCGCCAGATGAAGAGTTAGAGGAAGCACATTCTAGAGGGTGTGGTTATGTGAAGGTTCTGGGTTTTGCATTCCCAAATCTGAACAAAGCAGTCGGCTCAGCACATGAAGGAGAGACAGAATGACACCCACTGAGGCTGGGCAACTCACAAGCCAGTTGGTCATATGAGGGAATTCTGATTTTCTTTGGAGAGTAGTAGGAAGTCATGGAACGGTCTTATGTATATTTTATAGAGATGATTCTGTCTGCTGTTTAAAGAATGGATTGGGGGTGTCTCAGAAGAACCAAATCTGCCCAGCTGATCTTCAAATCCTTCTATAAAATGGCCCCTGCCATCTCCCAAGACTTCCCTCCACAGGCCCAGTAGCCAGCCACATGGCGCACATGGCCCTTTTCCAACACTGTCTTTACTACTTGGCCTTTGTGCTCCATCCTTACCTCCTTACTAATTAAAATCCCAGCATGCTACAGGAGACTGACCTGACTCAAAATCCAACCTCTCCAAGATGATTATTAACTATTATTTAACCCCTATGGCACTCGGTAGAAAAATTCTGAGCAGCAACAAAGGAATCCTGACTAAGGAAGTGACTTTGGCCTTGACTGCTAAGCTTCGGAATTATCTGTCTCCTGAGATTACTCAACAGGCAGTCCGCCACCCCCACATATGCACACCCAAGTCTTGGGCTAGAGAACCCATGATAAAGAGCTCCTTTCTTTCTTACTTTTAATAAAATTCAGAATTTTATTTAAAAGACAATGTTCAAACACCAAAAAAATGCTGCCAATATAAAATTGCATTTGTGCACACATGTGAAAACACACACACAAATTGCAATTAGCTGATTTTTCTTTATTTCCATGTTTAATGGTTTCCTAATAACTGTGGGGAAAAAAGGTTTGCGTATGTCTGATCTAATCCAATAAACTATAAAAACGGAGGTGCTAAATTTGAACTTAGCCTAATACTACCTATTTCTTACAGTTATCTTTTTTTCCTAAAACTGCCCTAGAATTGCATCATAGTTTTATCTAGAAAGCATAACTAGATTTACTCAGACCCCAGATTTCTTACATTACACTTTTATTTATTGTTTATACTCTGCCCACTTCCAAAGGAATTGGACATGGCTTCGTTTAAGTGGGAACATTTAGTTCCTGGCACCTGCAAACTGCTGAAAGTTTGGCTCCTCCCTGAAATAGCCCCATACAGAGGAGCAAACTGATTTAACTGAATCAGAACTTGTGGTCCAACTACAATCCAACCACCTAATCTAGACAGACCATAATCAGTCACATACATAACTGTGGGTAAAAAATAATTTTTTCTTAAAAAAAAAAAGAGTCCAATAAAACATGTAGAACAAATGGTATGTTTCTGTAACTTTGACAAAATTTGATGAATACTATTAAAAAAAAAATAATTCCACTGAAATCATTCAATAAAGAAAATATAATCCATAATGATTCAATTATAAAACTTTGACTAAATGAGACTGATGCAATGAGCCAGTATTTTACCCTAATGTCCCTAGAGGTATTTCCACATCACTCACCTTGATCTCTTTCATGCCATGTTCGACTTCCAGCAGCTGGTGAATTCGGAGAGGGATAAAAGTCTCCTGTGGGACTTGGTTCCATATTTTCATCTATGGATATAGTCTTGGGTCTTTTGCTGTTAAAATGACAATAGTTATGTTAACGGAATTTCCAGGAAGACATGTCGCATTTGAAAGTACATATGATTTGAGAAGACTCTTAAGGTGTATATTTCCATAAGAACAACTAAGGGTATCTCAGTATCATTTTGAAATAATGGTGAGTTTTCAAGACATTAACAGAAGTAGGAAACATTTCCAGTTGTATACACCATACATTATACCTACGTCTGCCTAACAAATACGGTGTTCATTGTATTTACTTTTTCAAATGTATTTCCAAAGAAACTTCAGTACATAAAAAGTGAATTCTTAACATGGTTTGTGTATTAACATTAAAAACATGTTCTTGAGGTTGTACCTGGCCCTTATGATTATTGTACTATTAATAATATCCATCTGTATAGCACTTGCACTTGACAATGTAATGCTTCCATAGTCACCCAAAGATGATAAGGGAAAAGAGTGGAGTAGAACATGAGGTCTGAAGTCTGACACGCCCAGTGTCAAGTTTTGGCTAGGCCACTTCACTCACCACCACCAATTGCTATCGAGTCCATTCTGACTCACAGTTAGTTCTACTCTGTCCTATAGGCCACACTTAATACATAAGCTCCTTAACCTTTCTAAACTCAGTTTAATCATCTGTAAAATGAAAATAATAAAACCTAGTTCAAAGAAGGGTGGTTGAGAGAATTAAATGAGGTATTAAATGTAAAGCTCTTCGTTACGTGGCTGGCAGTTAGAAGATACTTATTAAATAGTAATTATTATTAATAACCCTATAATTAATAATACAAATATTTTATAGTACTCTTGCAATTATAAGTTATTTCCTATATTCTTTATCTTTTCCTAAAAAATTAAGTTATTGATTCTTTATTCTTAAGATCAGCCCTAAAAATCAGGCCATTGCCAAATTCAAACTGACCAGTATACTTTGAAAGGGATACAATCCAATAAGGTAAACATGGTTTATCTCAATAAGAAAAGTGAATCTTTAGAACAAGTACATGGTACATGACAATTTGCCTGATATACTGCTTTCTTATACCTCCACCAATACCCTATTGAACACTTAATTATTGCCATGAAAATGGATATATTTTTTACTTTAACTATTTAGAAATTTCTTACACCTATGTGGGTAAAAACTTAAAAAGATATTTTCTGAATTAACTTTATGCACTGATAATAAGCATATGATTTCAGAGCTGCAACTGACCTCTGAGATCACATACATAAACCAATTCCTTCATTGTTACAAACGCGGAGAGAGATTTGGAGAAATAAAGTGACTGGCCCAGGGCAAGTTAACGGCAGCAGCCAGACTCAAAGCTCAAAATACGGACTCTGATTTTCAAGTCTCTGCTCTTTCCACTGCACCACATTTCCAAGCCCCTGAAGCACATGCATGTTGGGTATATTCATGGATTTACTTGTGATTAATGTTTGGCTCACAATTCCCTGAGTATTAATATGATATAGAAGATGCAAAATTTCTATCTATGGTAAACCATGGTAAGAGTAAATAATATTTCTTTAGTTTCTTCCTACAGTATCCAAGTTAGAACTAATATATATATATATATTTTAACCATCCTTTAATCTAATTCTCCCATCTGTGAGTCAGCAGTACCTATGTATAACCCACTACTGTCAAGTCAATTCTGACTCAGAGCAACCCTATAGTATAGAAAACTTGAAATGGGAGAAAAATAATTTTCATAAGGAAATAGTAGAGAAAAGTTTATAAACCTTGTTTATTTTGAATGACACAGTATTTGATACTGAGTGGCATGAAGTAAGATCTGTGTTGACGACATACTGACCTATCAGACAAAATGAAAATTACTGACAGAGTAGCTGGGACTGGGGGTTGGGGACCATAGTTTCGAAGGTCATATAGGTCAATTGGCGTAACTAGTTCATATAGAAAATTTTCTACATCCCACATTGGTGAGTAGCGTCTGTGGTCTTAAAAGCTTGCAAGCAACCATCTAAGATACATCCATTGCTCCCATCCCACTCAGAGCGAAGCAGAATGAAGAAAACCAAAGACACAAGGAAAATACCAGCCCAAAAGACTAAAGGACCAAATGAACCAGATATTTCACCAGCTTGAGACCTAAAGAACTAGATGGTGCCCGGCTATCACCAATGACCGTCCTGACAGGGAACACAACAGAGAGTCCCACACAGAGCAGGAGAAAAATGTAGAACAGAATTCAAATTCATGCAAAAAGACCAAACTCTCTGGTCTGACAGAGACTGGAGGAACCACCAAAACTATAGCCCCCCGATGCTCTGTTAACCCACAACTGAAACCATTCCCAAAGCCCATTCTTCAGACAAAGATTAGACAGGATTATATAACAAAAAATAATACATTTGAGGAACATGCTTCTTAGTTCAATCAGATATACGAGACCAAATGACAGCTCCTGTCCAAAGGCAGGATGAGAAGGCAGGAAGGGACAGGAATGGGACAAATGGACACAGGAAATTCAGGGTGGAAATGGGGAGTATGCTGTCACATTGTGGAGACTGCAACCAATGTCAAAAAACAATACATATATAAATTTTTGAATGTGAAATTAACTTGAGCTGTAAACTTTCAACTAAAGCACAATAATAAAAATAAATGAAAATTACTACTATTTATATTTTAAATTTAGAAAAACAAGCATTTTTAAGACCACAACATATCAGAGACAATTTTAGTGATAATAAACCCAAGGATTTTGCTACCCAATCTAACTATATCAAAATACAGTTTGACCATAAATGATATAAAGTTGACCTAAGTTTATGAGCTAAGTTTATGCGCATAGTCTCAGAATCAATTCAAATGCATTTAACTGTCATTATTGAAAATAGCTTAGGAAAATATCCATATAGTCTTTTATTTTTTAAAAATTGAAGATATAAAACATATATTTTGCCCTGGAACTCATGTATGTCCTTATATTTCATCATGGGCATAGTTAATGCTCTGAAATATGAAGTGGGTCTTCATATACTGATGATCCAACTCAAAAAACTAGAAAGCTATAATATTTATTCATCTTATCGTCTCATAATTTGAGACCTCTTCTATCATTCTATAATAGTGAAACGTGTCATCATGCAATCCAATGCACAACTTCCGCTCTATTTATCCCTCTTTTAAACAGGAAACGTCACATCTCTGCATTTTTTCAACTTCCGTGGGACTGAAAGTTACAATTAGAAGGTCAACAGAGAAAATAAGAATGTTAACGGAGAACCAAAAAGCAAAGAAACCTCCCCCACCCATATCCAACCTACGCTGGTAAAACCAAAATCAGAGCAAGTAATATTGTCATTGGTTATTGAGATTTATTAAATTATTCAAATAATACTGAAAAATTGAAGAACTTGGCAAACTGCGGCCTGGCCAAGTTGTGGTCTTAGGCCTTTTATTTTTAAGATTAAGTAAATGACAGATTTTATTTTTCATGTTTCAGGATTCCAAGCTTGGACGTGGTATTAGGGGAAAGCTAAAGGATGGACAGATGACTACTGCAATGGTAACGTGAATTTTTAAAGTAGCCAAAAATATTAATTAACTATAAAACTAATATATTTCATGGAACAGGTGGGAAATCATATTAATATATTTTCACAGTTCTCTCATGCAAAAAGAAAAGCTATAAAAAGGGTTTTGAATAACAATCACATTTAACTGGCAGATATCAGATATTTATAACCAAGAAAAATTAAAAAGCATCTGTAGGAGATGGGGCCAAGATGGTGGAGCAGTCAGACACTTCCAGTGGACCCCCTTACAACAAAGAACAGAAAACACAAGTGAGTCAATTATATATGACAATCTAGGAGCCCTGAACATCTAAGGCAAAGCTGAGGAACTGGACTGAATAGCAGGGGGAGGGAGAGACAGTTCAGAAGCAGCAAGGAGTTGCCAGACCCGACCTGGCGAGAGCCTGAGCCCTTCAGGCCTGAGCAGCTTATGGGTGAGCGGTGAGGTAGGCAAGC